CCTGGGGTACAGCTGGGGACACCTGGGGTACAGCTGGGGACACCTGGGGACAGCTGGGGTACACCTGGGGACAGCTGGGGACACCTGGGGTACAGCTGGGCACACCTGGGGTACAGCTGGGGACACCTGGGCACACCTGGGGACAGCTGGGGTACACCTGGGCACACCTGGGCACACCTGGGCACACCTGGGCACACCTGCACACACCTGGGCACACCTGGGGACAGCTGGATACACCTGGGGACACCTGAGGTGGGGCCCCTCAGTACACCTGGAAACAGCTGTGTCACACCTGTCCCATCACACCTGTCCATATCACACCTGTCTGTACCTGTCACAGCTGTCACACCTGTCACACCTGTCTCACCTGTCTCACCTGTCCATGTCTCACCTGTCTCACCTGTCCAGGTGTTGTCAGAGGTGTGTGGTCAGGAGGTCACCACCACCCAGATGTTGCCCACCGTGCTGCGCATGGCCGCCGACGCCGTGGCCAACGTTCGCTTCAACGTGGCCAAATCCCTGCAGCGCATCGGGCCCATCCTGGACAGCGGGTACTGTACTGGTTTATACTGGTTTATACTGGGATGGACTGGTTTGGACTGCTTTATACTGGTTTGGACTGGTTTGGACTGGTTTGTACCAGTTTATACCGGTTTATACCGGTTTATACCGGTTTTTACCGGTTTCTACTGGTTTATACTAGTTTGTACCGGTTTATACTGGTTTATACTGGTTTATACCGGTTTGGACTGGTTTGGACTGGTTTATACTGGTTTGTACCGGTTTATACCGGTTTATACTGGTTTATACTGGTCCATAGCGGTTTATACTGGTCCATACCGGTTTGTACTGGTCCATACTGGTCTGTACTGGTCTCACCTGTCCGTTCTCACCTGTCAGGACGCTGCAGACCGAGGTGAAGCCGGTGCTGGAGAAGCTGACGCAGGACCAGGACGTCGACGTCAAATATTTCGCACAGGAGGCGCTGACAGGTGAGAGACACCTGGGGACACCTGGGGACACCTGGGGACACACCTGGGGACACCTGGGGACACCTGGGGACACCTGGGGACACACCTGGGGACACCTGGGGACACCTGGGGACATCTGGGGACACCTGGGGACATCTGGGGACACCTGGGGACACCCAGAACACACCTGGGGACACCTGGGGACACCTGGGGACACCTGGAACACACCTGGGGACACCTGGGGACACCTGGGACACACCTGGGGACACCTGGGGGGCACCTGGAGGGGGTGGGTGCCCCTGAAATTCCTCAAAATTCCCTTTAAAAAACACAAAAATCCCGATTTTTTCCTAAAAATTCTCATTTCTTCCCCAAACATCGTCAAAATTCCCCCAAAAAAATCGCAAAAAATCAAAGAAGATCCCAATTTTTTTTCCCAATTTTTTTCCAATTTTTTCCCAAAATTTCCTGTTTTTTCCCCAAAGCTTTTCAGGAAACATGGCCTGGATGCACGTCCCGTTGCTCACACCCCCTAAACCCCAAAAACTCCACAAAAAATTCCCATTTTTCCCAAAAAATCGCCAAAAATACCAAAAAAAATCCCCAAAAAATCAAAAAAAAATCCCAAAAAATCCCAAGAATTCCAGCGCCTTCCCGGGTTTCTGCCGGACACAGAACATCCCAAAAATCCCAAACTGGAAGCCTGAGGTTCTTCCAGAGGGTTCTGGATCCATCCTGAGGGTGCTGGGGTTCCAAATCCCTCTCAACCCCATCAGGAGAGTCCGGAACCCCAGCCTGATCCAGAACCTGGGGACCCTCGGGATGGATCCAGAACCTTCTGGAAGAACCTCAGGGATGGATCCAGAACCTTCCGGAAGAACCTCAGGGATGGATCCAGAACCTTCTGGAAGAACCACAGGGATGGATCCAGAACCTTCCGGAAGAAGCTCAGGACCCCCCGGGACACGCCCGGATCCGGCTTTGCCTCATCCCCATCTCCCCTTTTTCCCGCAGGGCTCCGGGCGGCCGTGACCCTGCTGGAGTCCGGGGGGGACCTCCAGCCCCCCGGGGGGTCCCTGCGCCTCCTCTGCCACGGGGATGGATTCGAGTTCGGGAAATTCACCATGTTCTGGATCCGCCAGAGACCCGGGAAGGCGCTGGATTACGTCGCAGGGATCAATGGTGATGGTGGCAGCACGTACTACGCGCCGTCGGTGCAGGGCCGGTTCAC